AAGATTAACCCCAAATTATCCCTATACAATTAAGCATTGCATACATCACACAATCTCATCTCTAACACAGAATTAAGCAAACTTTGATATTAGTTCGGTTTATTAAGCATAAACAGATTATAATTCAACACTGAGATTAGAAGATGAAGAGTTAAGAGAACAAACAAAATAAAATTGAAGAACAAAACCTCAAAGATCTACTTGCATTCTTCTCAGAAAATCAATACAAAGATTTAGCTATCCATGGAAAGTTGAAAATGCAATAGAAGAAACATAATTAAAATCGAAACAAGAATTTAAAAATAATGACAGAAGAGTAAACAAACTTGAATATAAATTGAAGAAGATGAAAGGTGGAAGTGTGGTGGCTGCGTAGTCCTTGTGTGATGTGTGTATTCTGATGTGTGATGTGCCTCTCTTATATAAATAACCCTAATCTTTATTGAGGTTTGGGCTCAACTGGTCCATGAAACACATCATAAGTTGGCTTTAGTGCAGGTCCGTGAACTTCAAACACGTGCAGTATTTTCAATACTTATCCAAATTAAGAGATTTCGGTATCCTTTGAAAGCCTTTTGAGTTAGATTTAAAACGCCACCATTGGTACTATTTTTGGAGGTCTAATGAATTTAGGAGACTTAAATTACTGAAGCATGTCCATTGGGCCGGCCTGGTGCGCTTGACCCGTGTTGGATAATTTATGTAAAATCCAATTTATCTCCGAATTGAATGATTTTGGATCCTATGGAAAGCTGAATGTGTCTAATTTATAATTTTTTGAAAATAATGATTATTGGAGATCTGTAGAAAAAATGATAAATAAAACAATAAACCAATGTTAGTACCCGTATAGAATAAAATATGACATTTGACCCAATTTTCCAAGCCCAAAATTGCTTTAAACTGTAAAATGGCATCTAGCCCAATATTCTAGGCCCAAAATTGCTTTAATTGTCCTAAAATTAATAATGAGAAAAAATTAGATAAAATAGATTTAAATTAATTAAAATCTAATTATTGGCCCAATGAAGCTCAATTAATAGAAATTCACTAATAATAGAAAGTTAAGCCCAAAACACTAATTAAAATAAGTTCAGAAAGGGAAGAAAATATGGGAATATAATGACTCATCCCCCCTCTTGATCTCAACCTCCTTTTCTAACATTACCTACGGACTAGCAAAATCCGTCGATAAATTTTACCGACAACACAAAATTTGACGGATTTATGACTATCAATAATCCATCGGTAATATGTATTTACCAACGGATTTTCTTATTTACCAATGAATTTTGTCCATCGAAAAATCCAATGTGTCTTGCAGTGTTAGTTTTACCTCATATAATCGCTCCGTTATATCATTTATTTTTCAAAAAATAAAAAAAAAACATGTTTTTCAAAAATTGTTATTTTTATATTAAAATTACAAAAATTGAAGAAAAGTTAATTATATTATTAGTATTTACATTATATATTTTTTTATGTTCAGCTTTGGTAGTTGTAAGAGCAGAAGCCACTCCATACATGTTTAAGAGATTAGAAATGCGTTCTTGCCAGCATCGGAAGTTTTTCCTAGTGAAAACTTCAATTTTCGAAACATTCGAGAACAGTTTTGCAAAGACAGTTTGAGTTCTGGAAATATTGTTTGTCTTTTCCGGTGTGGAATTGTTGTTGGTATCCATAATGTCAGCCATAAGTCCTGAAGATTATTGTAAAAGCTAACAGAGACCCAAACAAACTTTATTCCTGAGACATGTATAATCACTGTTCTTAAGGACTTATCCATGGTATATTGTGCAAGTCGCCTAGGATACAACAAGAACTTCTCAAAATTTTGGAGGATCTCAGAAACAAGCAAGAAACTCTTAAAAGAGTAAATAAACCCATGATAATAATAGAATAGAAAAAAAAATAGAGAAGAGAAGATGAGAGCGGTGTGGTTTTGGAAGAGTGTGAAGTGGTCTCTATTTACAGGTGTAGATTGGGCCTAAAATCCTAACTACCTATGTCCAAAAAATCCACCAGTAACCACCTTATCCCAATATTTAGGAAATGTCATGAAATAAAGAGAAAAATTTGCAACAGCTAGAGGAAGACTTGGTAGTGGGTCTGCAATGTTCTCTGTAATGTTTTCTACAACGTGTGGGAGTGTGTTCCTTATTTTTTTGCAATATAGTTTCATAACACATCGAAAAATTAGGAATCGAGAAATTAAAGAGTGAAGAACATCAATCGAGGAAATAAAGAGTGAAGAATATCAATACGTACATATCGAGAGGAAGTTATACTGAATGAATTTTAAATAGTACATTGAAAGACTGATGAAGGCGGTCAAGAAACAAGTTCCTTGAAATGTGTAAGTTACAAATAAAGGTGTGTCAACCAGGTGAAGCGAGTTACAAGAAGATTATTCCAATTTGTAATTTTTATTTTATTTTATTATTTTTATGATTGTTTTAGCGGTTACAAAAAATAATATATATATATATATATATATATA